CTCTCCGTCCCGTCCCGCACCCCAACAACAGTGTGGAAGTGGAGTGGGGTTGTCTCTTTGTCCGGACAGATGTAGCGACAACACGGCCAACAAAAACGCGCTGATTTGTGCTGAGATGAGCCCGTCTGCCTTCTGTGTGTTGGCATTCAACTTCACCAAACAAAAGGGGGAACATCTTGGATTACCTTTGACTCTTTTTTTTTAACCTAACCCCCCCCCCCCACACACACACACACACACCACTGCAATTCAATGCTTGGAGTTAACAAAGTTGATTTTGATGCTGTTATGTTATTTTATTTTGGCCTTCTGACACCACTATTTTTCCCCTCTCTTTATTTTCACGTTACTTGAAAAAAAATGAAATAATAATAATAATTAAACCCATTTAACGACAAACCTTTTGTCACCCCCCCCCCCCTATTCTTGGCTTGAAAATGAAGTTTACAAAGCAAACGTTGTCGGTCCTCTGCCACCAAACAAGTACAAGGCTTCACCTTTCTCGAACGGGTCTGATGTTGCGCTTCCGCGTTTATCTCTCCGCGTTTTCTTTTCACGTCAAGCGTCTTCCTATGGAAATAGTCAAAAAAATGCACTTGGCATGGGCTTCATGCGAGCGGGCTCGGTGTGCGCGCGTGGAAGCGCGTGTTTCTGGGTGCTGGGCAGGCCACGCCTCTTTATGCTAATCGAAGGCTCCCATTGGTGCGTCGGGGCAGCAAGGCGTCCGCCATTGGCCAGGTCCTGGCCATTTATTTGCTGACAGCCGCGTCACTTGAATGGTTGTCTATTAACTTGTTCCCAAACTATCTGGACTTGTCAAGGCTCGCGCGGACAGGGGAGAAAAAGTACCGTTTGTTTATGCCTTGTTGGAGAAGCGACGGCCGAAGAAGTTTTGTGGACACAACATCGCGGGGACCTTTCGGGAGAGAGAGAAGGATCTCCGTGTGTGCCACTCTGACGCGCGCGCACACATACACGCGCGCGCACGCACCCCCACACACACACTCTCGGGGAGAGAGAGGCTGTGGAAGCTCGCCTTGTTTTTGTCCAGAGAAAAAGTTGCAGAGGGAATCGACAGGTAACTTTAATCGGAGGGGTGGGCGGGTGGGCATCAGCAGCAGCAGCAGCGGCACCACCTCTCCTCGTCCCGTTTGGACTCAGCGCGCGCGCGCGTCTCTCTCATTTCACCTGCTCGGGAGCGCCGCCCGACCAGCCGTTCCCCGATGTATAACATGATGGAGACAGAACTGAAGCCCCCGGCTCCCCAGAGCAACACGGGGGGCACGGGCAACAGCAACGCGCCCGGCGGCAACCAGAAAAACAGCCCCGAGCGGGTCAAGAGACCCATGAACGCCTTCATGGTGTGGTCGCGGGGCCAGAGGAGGAAGATGGCGCAGGAGAACCCCAAAATGCACAACTCGGAGATCAGCAAGCGACTGGGCGCCGAGTGGAAACTCCTGTCGGAGAGCGAGAAGCGACCTTTCATCGACGAAGCCAAGCGCCTGCGGGCCCTGCACATGAAGGAGCACCCCGACTACAAGTACCGGCCCCGGCGGAAGACCAAGACCCTGATGAAGAAGGACAAGTACACCTTGCCCGGCGGGCTGCTGGCCCCGGGCGGCAACGGCATGGGCGCGGGGGTCGGGCTGGGCGGCGGCCTGGGCGTCGGCGGCGGCGGCGCGGGCGGCGGCGGCGTGGTCAACCAGCGCATGGACTCGTACGCCGCGCACATGAACGGCTGGACCAACGGCGGCTACGGCATGATGCAGGAGCAGCTGGGCTACCAGCACCCGGGCCTGAACGCGCACAACGCGGCCCAGATGCAGCCCATGCACCGCTACGACATGAGCGCGCTGCAGTACAACGGCATGAGCGGCTCGCAGAGCTACATGAACGGCTCGCCCACCTACTCCATGTCCTACTCGCAGCAGAGCACCCCGGGCATGACGGCCCTGGGCTCCATGGGGCCCTCGTCGGTGGTCAAGTCCGAGTCGAGCAGCTCCAGCCCGCCCATCGTCACCTCGTCCTCCCACCGCGCCGCCCCGGGCTGCCAAAGCGGCGACCTGAGGGACATGATCAGCATGTACCTGCCCGGGGCGGAGGTCGGCGAGCAGACTGCCCAGACCAGACTACACATGTCCGGCCACTACCAGAGCACCGTGCCCGGGACGACGATCAACGGCACGCTGCCCCACACGCACATGTAAGACGCCTCAAAAACAAAAACAAAACAAAACAAAAAAAAAACAACTTTGATCAAAACAAACTGCGGACTACATAGCGTTGGACTATTTTTGTACAGAGAAAAAAATGGGGTGGGGAAAGTTGTACAGAAGTCACCATGCAGGAAACGGACAAAAACGCCTCTTTTCCCCCCTTTTGATTTGTTTTAAGGAAGCTCTAGAGGAAGGAAGGATGGAAGGATGCAGGAGCGAGATGTCCTCTTCACGCCGCTGCTGGATCAAGTTTGCAAGACGACAAAGTGGGAGTCGCAATCAAATGTTTTATTATTGCAATCATCTTTTGTACAGTATTTATCAAAGAAACCTTACAATCAGAAGAAATTGTTAAACTGCAAGAGGTTGCATCGTTTCCCCCCTTTATATACAGTATACATATATATATATCTATATAGATCTAAAAAAAAAAAAATTTGAGGAAAAAAAAAAGTTCCGTAGAAAATATTCGAATAACGGCAGAAGGAATCGGAGCCATCAGCTCTGCTCCAAACAAACTTTGGAAAGAAAAGGGACAGAAGAGCAAACAGGTAACGCTGTTTTATTCCTACGGCTCAACATGACTAATTCGTTTTGATTTCGTTCAGAAATAAATGAGGGACCCCCCCCCCCACCTCCCCAACCCCCTCCGGCTCATTCAGCTCTCCAAGTTAATTTATATTCCCCGTCTCCCACTTTTCATCCGTTTGAGCTCTGATGCTTGTGCTCTTTTATTTCCCGAATTGATTTGTACAATTCCTGTATATTGACTGTGACATTTTATGTTTCTATCTCCAAATTCATTCCTGTAGTTGAATTTGGGAAAAAAAAAATTGCGGCCTGTACGCAGAAGCCAACCACTCCATGTATATACTGAAACTAATACCATCCTTATAACAGCTACGATTTCAACTGAGTATATTTTTTTTCCATATGCAGTTTGAAAAGAATAAATTTTTGGAAATTTGGATACTCGAAATGTTTGGAGTTTTGATTTTATCGGACGCGTCTCGATTCTGTGCGCGAGTCGTAGCAAAATGGAAACGGCGTGAATTTGGAGCTCGGTGCCTGCTGCAGGTGCTTCTTCGTCGTTTCAAATTCAAAAAGTGTGGCTTTTGTACTTGATTGGTGGTTAACCGCGTTTGTGTTTTCTAGTGACTGTGGATGCCGCCCCCCGCCCACCCTCACCCCATCTCGCAAAAAAAAAAAAAAATTGTTGGCAAGATTAATCCAGCAAATCGTTCAAGACCTTCAGGTATTTCTTTCTGTTTTGTTTACGATCTTCTAAAATCACCGAAAGGCCCCATCGAATCACAATGACCACTGACAACCTTTTGAACGGCGTTTTAATTCCAAAACAAATTAAATACGTGCCACCGATGATACATGTTAACACCCATTACTTGCGCTTTGTATGACTTTTTTTTTTATTAAATACAAATTCTTTGCCAGTAATCAACGTGTCAGTTTGCAAATCGACCCGTAAATTAATTCTTTTATATGACGCAATAAAAAAAACGCAGTCTTGTAGTATTTTTATTGTTTGGATTTTACAGGCGTCGTTATTTTTCTCTCTCTTATTTGGGAGTGCGCTTATTGAGAGAGCGCATTTTCCTGCTTTTGAACGTTTTGTGTGTGCCTGTGCGTGTGTGTGTGTGTGCGTGGGTATTTTGTCCTGCAACTTTTAACCAAACAGGCCTTGGCCGCTGCTTGGCGTTCACACTCACTTCGACGAGACCTTTTCATGTTTGTCCCAAAATGCGTCTCACAACCAGCCGGCGTTTCTCTCCAGAAAAAAAAAATAATAAAAATAATCCTTCAAATGAGCTAACAGCTCGCTTCGAGTGACGAACGGTTTTAAATCTGGTCTGCCGTGTGTGTGTGTGTGTGTGTGCGTGCGCGCGCTCGCGCAGCGAGGTAGATTAAGATTAGGGCGGTTGTGTTTTGCTGGGTTCGGGCCCCGAGGGAGCGCGGCTCACATTAAGCGGCGGATGAATATTTGAAGAGGGCCCCCTCGATCGGTCCACTTTGTCTCTCCCTCCCAGCCGAGCCCATCGAAGGTCAAGGGATCGTTGGTCGCTTCATTATTTATTGATCCGAGACGCGGAATTGTTTGTAATAGGCGAGGACATCGGTGATAAACAATTTGTGTCTAAAAGGCTGAACTGGAAAGCCTATTAAAGTGTCTCTGCCCCCCCCCCCCACGCGCCCCCTCCACTCTTTGTAGCAACATCGGGTCCCTGCTTAGTGGCCCTGAGGACAGAATAAATTATCTGGTCACCTTTGATGTGGTGAAAAAAGCTTTGGTGACATTATGCAACGTGCTCTATACGTTTCGTTTCATGAACCCTCGTTTGAGATCTGCTCTGTAGGCCCCAAACACGCAGGACCATTGAGGGTGTTATTTATCACAAGAGGCCAAGACAAAGCCTGTCACAAATTGATCTCGTTTTTATTAAATTGGTGCTCGTCCGCTGTGTGGTGTGTGTGGGTGCCACGATGCTCTAAAAATGCATTTTTTTTTTAGTTTTCGATTTTGATTGCCCTTAATCCGGGCCTTGGGGAAAACAATTGCCTCAACATGAATTTTTACAAACACTTTTTTGATATGTGTAAAATAAAATTGAATAAAACTTACTAAAGCACGTGGAAAACAAAATGGCGCTCGGGCCAAGTATTTTGGAAATAGTTTGAAAAGTCGGAGGGGCCCTGAATGCGCCATGATATGTTTTTGGGACCAAGTCGATCTCGTTGGCTCGTCTTGTTTTTAAACCTTCGTAAATGGGCACGTTGGTGTGTTTTGTCAAAGACGAGGAAGGGGAAGGTGTTCCCAAGTCGAAGCGACCGTCCCGAGCCTCCATCCGATCCTCTGTTGCACTTCCTGTGCTCGCGTGCTGCGTGTCGTCCTGGCGCTCGGGGATATTTAAACTGCAACAGGTGCTAAACGCGCGCCTCTGCTTTTTTTTTCCCCCCGCCCCGGGATGAAAAAAAAACCCCTCCCAGATGTTACGCGTGATAAGCTGTCATGGCGTGTGGTTATCCAGGCTTGGGTCTGGGGAGCTTTCAGGGGGCTTTAATCAGCACAGAAATTAAAAGCGGTTAAAAACGTCAGGTGTCAAGTGTTCAGTAATTAGCATGCGGATTATTCACTTTTTATGCGTTTTGATGCTGATGCGATTTTCTTAATTAGGTCAAATTGCACCGTAAAAAAAAAAACGTGTTTTTTGGGGGGGGTGCTAACTCAGTCATTTAAGTCAGCTTTAAAATATAAATGATTGACATTGGTGGCAACAATTGTAGTTAGCACAATAAAGCAAGCGAGTTATTTGTTCCAAAAAATTTGCTGAGTTGTTTTTAATTATATCTTTAAATTGGGGGACAATTAGTTCTGTCAAGTCTTGATTCTTTTATTGTGAAATGCGGGAATGCCAATTTTCACAACAGCAAAGCTTCAAGTATTGTGTTCAAGTGTTTGTTAAGTTCAAGTTAAAATTGTTATCAAAGTTTGTTTCCTTGAAATTTTGAGTTTCCCCAACTCTTTTGTTGTTGTTTTTACAGCGACGATGTCTTTTCACTCCCAATGCCTACCACCTTATTCGTAACACGTCACTTTTCCTTCCCCGTCATCACGGTTGTACAATGTAAAGGGTTGCAACAAACGAGTTGAACGTCATTTGCACATTTCAACTCATCGGGAAATTTCCGCGGGCATTTCCAGCCCTTCTTCACAGAGGGCGGCTTTTGCATGTTATTGCTTGGGCGTCGTTACCCTAAAGAATAGCTCAAGCAAAAACCAGAGACCTCCCTGACCAAGTCCTCTGTGTGTATGTGTGTGCGTGTGTGTGTGTGTGTCTGTAAAAAGGAGCCCACCGCCTGCTCCTCTTCCCCGCACCTGCACTTCTTTGGCAAACACATACAGACGCCCAGCGAATGACTAAGACCACACAGTGACACACCAGCATGCCATCGGCCTCGCATTGCTCCCGGCCGGCCTGCGTCGGAGGCGGCTGGAGGCCTCGTGCGCCCCCCCCCCCCAACCCCCACCCAAGGCCACACCCACTCACACCATCACATCACCGGCAAGCAGCTCGCGTCACGTTGATCATTTGTGCTCGTTGACGCTTACAGCTTGATAAAGCGCCATCTTGCTTCATGGCCGCTCACGACTCAGCGGCGGCCCGCAATCGACGGCTACATTTCGGTCACATTATCTTGTGAAGGCCGACGCGGGAACTGGGCTTGACAAATTGACGTTGGTTATCTGATGCACCTCCCTGACAGATGAGGGTTGGCTATAACTTTTTCTTTTTTTTCTTTTTTTTTTAACTCACAATACAAAGCCTGTTACTGTTCCAGCTATTTCTCGACCTATTGCTCAATTCCATTCAAATTTCTCGCCACTTCTGAGTGTGTATTTTTTTTTTCACTGATGAACAAAAATAACACCGCCTAATGATGACTAACGCCTCGGTTTTCACGCTTCTGTTCACATATTCTGGTTTTGCCTCTTGATGAGATTAGCATAGGCCAGGAGAAAGTGTAGAAGGGTGCCGAGG